GGCATGTTGTATGAGAAACTTGATATTCCATAGCTTAGGGCCTTCCTTTGATGGATTACTCTTGATTTTTGACTTCATGTTCTACTATCATTTGATTGAGGATTTTATAATCCCTAGCTTAATGAGCATGTTATGGCTACACCCTAATTTAGGTAGTTCAAGCATGTGGAACTTTGAGGGGTTATACTTAAGTCTTAATCCTATGAACTTCTTGAAGATAATGTAGCAATCTAGTATTGCTACATATCATTGCCATACATTGACATTGTTTCCCAAGTTAATTGCAATCTAGCATGTTAAGTTATGATCTTCAAGGTCCAAGATCAAACTCCCAAGGCAAAGGTTTCAAAAACTAAAAGTGGCAAAAAGGCTCTCAGGATTCCTCAAACTACCTACATGAGATTCACCCCCCTGGAATCCAAAGCAAACAACCTCTACTGGAGAAACTGAGAAAAGGTGTTCTAGATCATAAGGAGAGGAAGTTATGATCTTCAAGGCCTAAGATCAAACTCCTAAGGCAAGGGCATTAAAATTTGAAAGTGGCAAATCAGCTCATGTTTGGCTGAAATGGAGCTTAGGTGAGGGTTTCAACAATTATGTAACTTCCCCACTAACCCTAATATTTGTTGGCCCAACACAAACATAACTACCTCTCTCACACACATATGCAAGACCAAATTTAGGACCTCCACTTGTCATCCATCTAGGCCTCCTCATAAAGTTTGATCAAGGCCTTACATTTGTCACCATCCTAGGCTTCCAAATGTATCCAATGGAAGGTCAATACATGGTCCAATGGGAGAGTGCCATTTGTCACTCTTTCCCCTAATTGCAACTTAGTCCTTCCTCTAAATATCTAGTAAAAAAATTGCACAAAGGTCCCTAAGGCAAAATATCTCAAAAACATAATTACACAAAACACCCCGAAAAACGAAAATGTTTCCGAAGAAACAATGCATCCATACCCCTACAGAATATAAATTTACGAACATACTTTTCATATAAAATAAAGACATGCGCGGCTAGTAAAAGACAAAATAACATAATGCACGTGGTGTCGGAAATCGTTCCCGAGCACCGAAACCTACTCCGGGTCAGACAAAACCCATAGGTCACAAGAAAAAAATTAAATCAATGATTAAATAATTAATTAAATAATTAAAAAAATTAATGACAGAAAATCAGAAAGTGAAAAAGAAAACACGATCATTACAGACATCAATTTTTGCTGGAACATTTGCAGCCGGTACATGTGATTTTATTACTTTCTTTGTATCAGTAAATGCATTAGGTAATTGATTTGCAACATTTTGCAAATGAATAATCCTCTGAAATTTTTTTCACATTGATTTGTGCGAGAATTAAAATAAGATAATGTTAAGTCATTTCAAATGATCTCATTATGCCTTTCAGAAATTTTCTTCTCCCCCTAATGGTGAGAAAACAACCTCATCAAAATGACAGTCGACAAATCGCGCTTTAAATATATCACCTATTAGGGGCTCAAGATATCTAATGATAGAAGAAGAATCAAAACCAATATATATTCCAAGTTTACGTTGAGAACCCATTTTAGTGTGTTGTGGTGGTGCAATAGGAACATATATGGCACAACTAAAAATTCGTATGTGAGAGATATTTGGCTGCTGTCCAAACACAACTAATGATGTAACATGTAATATGGCATGTCCCCAAGCATAAACAAGTAATTTTGTTTGCATAAGTAAAGGTTGACCAATTAACTGAAGTCTTTTAACAAAAGATTCTGCCAAACCATTTTGAGCATGAGTGTGTGCAACAGGATGTTAAACAATAATTCCAACTGACATGTAATAGTCATCAAAAGCTTAAGAAGAAAATTCAATAGCATTATCAAAACGGATTGTCTTAATTGGATAATCGGGAAAGTGTGCCCGCAATTTGATAATTTAAGCAAGGAGTCTAGCAAATGCAACATTACGAGTAGAAAGCAAACAAACATGTGACCACCGTGTTGAGGCATCAATTAATACCATAAAATAACGAAATGGTCCACAGGATAGATGAATTAGCCCATATATATACTTGTGAATTCGTTGTAAAAAGGTGGGGGATTCAACAATGACTTTTGAAGAGGATGGTCTAATTATCAACTTGCCTTGTGAGTAGGCGGTCCATAGATGATTATTTGGTAAAAGGATTTTTTGATCCTTTAGTGGGTGACCATATGAATTTTCAATAATTCGATGCATCATTGTAGTCCCCAGGTGACCAAGTCGATCATGCCAAAGCAAAAAGAGTTTTGGGTCACAAGATTTTTGGTGTATCGCAGCATTTGACTCAACTGTCCTAATGGTTGTATAGTATAACTCAGAAGAGAAAATATAAAGTTTTTCAAGTACATGCTTTTTAGAAGTAATGCAGAGATATTCCCCATTTCTTTCATTCATGGTCTCAATGTGATACCCATTTTAACATAAGTCTTTAAAGCTCAACAAATTTTTTTGAGATGTAGTAGAATATAAGGCTTTATCAATGTGTATTATTGTCCCACGTAGTAAAATAATATCGGCTTTTCCGGAGCCTTCAATCAAACTTATGGGACCTGAAATTGTACTAACACTAGCCTCAGTCAATGTTAAGTGGGAAAAATATTTTTTATCTCGAAGAATTATGTGTGTTGTTCTACTGTCTGGAAGACATATATCATCGCCATTAACCAATACATTTGATAGATCCATGCTTATATATATCATGCAAATTTCATATTTAGACTTTATTATGACAATAAAAACTTTAAGGATAGCAAAATAAATTTTTAATTCAAATGTAACTAAAGAAATAAAAACAAACAACTAAAAAAAAAAACACACATACACACACACAAACTAACGATGACATGATAAAAGAAAGTAGAGTTTAATTGGTGTGGACATTTCCATCACCAATCAAGTGGTCAATTTTTTCCATCACTATCCTCAAAAGAAATCTGACATGACCAGATTTGTGATATCCACTGGCTCATTGAAATCAGTGAAATTCATTTCTATCTTTTTCCCCTTTTCCTTTCTTAAGGCTTGGTGCAGATCAGCCAAGTGTTTAGGCGTACGACATATACTTTGCCAATGCCCTGTCATTCCACACCAATAACAAATATTTGCATTTGTCTTTGAAGTTTGGGCCATACCTTTCCCTTTTTTCATTATAATCCCTTTTCTAGGGATATGGTGTGAATCTCTAATTGTTATAATTTGAGGATTGATAACCTTTTACGACAATAAGAATGATTTCTTTCACGACCATATTCACCATTATAACCATCTCGATTACCATGTCCATATTCATTGCTTTTCGACCACCATGGCCATATTCAAGTCCACGAAACGAGGCAACGTATGTTTAAGGGATCGTTGTCGATTCCGTTAGACAGGACTGGTGGTTTCTTAACAAAAGTTCGTTCTTTTGCTCAACCACAAGTAAACATGATATTAACTTTGAATATTTTTCAAATCTACACTCTTGATATTGTTACTATAAAAGCACATTCGAGGCGTGAAATGTGGAGTATGTTTTTTCCAACAGGAGCTCATCATTGATAGTATCACCACATAATTTCAATATAGAGTAGATTTTAAATAGAGCAGAGTTGTATTCAGCCACTGTTTTGAAATCTTGCAACCGCAGTTGTTGCCAATCGGCTACTAAATCATTAAATAATAAAGGTAGTAAAACCGACCATTAAATAATAAAGGCGGTAAAACCGACCATATTGTGAGCATATATATCACTTAAGTGGACAAATTAATTAATAAATGATAATAAATAAATAAAATTTTCTTACCCTTTGAAGTGAGAAATACAATTTTCTTTAGTAAAGCAAGCAAACCCAACAATCTATCAAACTAATAGAGTAATGATACTTTGTCCGATCAAATTTGCCTACTCTTAGTCTGAATCCCACGTGTAACTGCCACGTTACTACCTAAATTGTTGATATTTTATTTGAGCGCTAAAGATACCAAAAATAAATTTGGAAAGAAGCTGAAAAGGTTTTGACGTTCTTTTATCTCTCTGATTTCTCCATTCCTCTTCTTCATTCTGCTACTTCCATGACTATTTCTCTCACATCCACTTCGTAACGAACTTTTGAAGGTTTTTTTTTTTTTAATTAAATCCCCAAAACTAATACAATATACATAAAGCCAAAATATATATTGAAAAAAAAAAAAAAAAAAAAACATATATATTTATATGTATTGTCCCTTTTGATTTTATGAACCAATAGAGACTTCTTAATGCTTTGTTTTCCCTTCAATTTTGCAAAGTGGAAAAGAGAGAACCGTGAGTCAAGAAAGGAATGGAGAAATCAGAAAAGATAGAGAGGGGTCGTCAAAACCTCTTCAACTTCTTTCCATAATTATTTTTGGTATCGTTAGCGCCCAAATAAAATATTAATAATTTAGGTAATTACGTGGCAGTTACACTTAGAATTCAGACTATGAGTAGGCCAATTGATCAGATTGAGTATCATTACTTAAACTTTAATATCACAAGATAGATATATATAGTTGAGATAAAAAGAGGAATAGAGGGCTTCTTTTTCAAATCTCAATTGGTTAGAACGTCGTACTGATAACGTATTGTAAATATAAGAAAAAATATGAAAAGTGAGAAGAGAGAGGGCTTTTCTTATTCACTGAAAGATACAATTTACAAAACACTCGATCGCATATATGTAGTCAAGAGTCACCGCCAAATGGAGCAATCAATTCTAGTGCATATACATCACTAAACTAATGGGATGTAAACACATCAATGGACCAATGCATGTACACATGTCAATGGACGCCTCACTTCTCCAATTTGCATACTTGTGGACCCAACTATAATATATAACAATTCCTAAATTTAAAGAGCTCAATGTAACTTGCATACATTCATGCATCATATCCTTCAAAACATTTTCAATAGAATGCTTGGATAGCGTTTGATGACTTATAAAAAGCATTAATTTGGCAATCTTGTAAACAGTAAGACTTGGTGGCATTGCCCGATAATCTTATGATTGTGTTCAAAAAATCTCCAACACACACTGTGATTTGGAATCACATAATCATACCACATCAACTGTATGGTGGCCTAGAACTCGTAAATCCCAGGAAAAGAAATAAGTTGACATGAATGAGGAACTAAAAGATTCAAGTCCCAGATATGAGAGAACAAAAACATACAGGTTCTGCCTCCAAAAATGAATAACAGTAAAAAACATATAGGTTCTTTAACCTCAGCCCAATTGGTAAACTGCAACGAAAGGCATCAACACGCTTCCCATCCACAGCTTCCCGTCCTTCTCCTCCACTTCACTAATCGCTTTAACAACCTTCCCTTGACTGTCCTCCAATACCTGCAACAGCTTACCCTCTGGGCTGTACTTCACAACTACTCCATGGGGTAGGCCCCCAATGTGAAGCATGAACTGAATCTTTGCCGAGATCGGAAGCTTAAGCAAGAATTTCCGAATTTTCGGGTACTTGGAACATAAATAAGTGTACATAGAGCGGCGACAGTGGATTGCTACCCAGAATTCACCTTTTTCATTCGTTCTCACATTATCAGGAAATCCTGGTAGAACGGCCATTACTTCAGATGTCCCTGCTTTCTCACCTTTCAACCAATACTTCCTTAATCTGCATCATCATAAATAAAACAAGGTATCAGAAAATGAAGGATGATTACTTAATGTTACTTCCCAGGATTAGGGATAAAAATGATTACTGATGGCTAAATTTTAGCATATATCCTCTGCAGATTCCTGTACTCTTGATTTTGCAATATCATAACACCATCTCATTTAGAGTTACTCAGTTTTCCCAATAACATGCATGATTAAGTTTGTCAATAATAAGGTGTTCTGATGGGTGATTCTGTGATTGCAACCAAAAAGAACATATTTATTGAATAACAGAAGAATTTGCATTTTCTTGGGATAACTTCAACGGTGACAGCAATTCAAAGTGTGTAATGAGGCAATCTCATGATCACCTAGAGAGTAGAATACAAAATTATAGGTCCCACTAAAGTTGATCCTTGCATTTGCATCCCAAACACCCTGGTGTATTTGCCTAATCAGCCAAAGGCAGAACAGGAATAAAGTAATTTCTATATTGTAAATTGTAGTTTTAGTACGATACTGGTCTACTGAAAAAGGTAGAATTTAAGTAAGAAAAGGAGTCCCCAAGATCATATTTTGACTAAGATTTTTGACAAGAATAAAGGTTGGTTTGATACTTCTTGGTTACATGTTGCTGCAGAAATATCAAATATTGGGTTTTAAACCACTGGCGTACTTAGTAACTCAGTAGTCTTTCAAAATATTGGATTAAAACTAATCATTCCAGTGTACAAATGAGATCAGCCCCTGAATCAACTAATGCTATTGTAGTTAATTGATAAGTTTTATCAATAATAATTGTAGCTTTAATATGCCATCTTTGGTAATTAACTTGTGTGATGATATTGATATGCTGTTCTAGATACTCTTCAGGCTTTGTGGTACATGAGTCAAGAGCAGTTAGGCTTTTTTGAGTATTTTGTTGTAGTTTTAAAAATAAAACATCTTGTTGTAAACTTCTAACTTCAGTTTCTAACTGGGTAACTTTTTTTTTTTTCATTGGCAAGAAACACTCACACACCCACATGCCCTTGCAAGGACTTGAACCCTCGACCTTCTACTTTGGAAGGCAAAGAAATACCACTACGCTACAGCCTTTAGTACAAAGTATGTTAGTATTACTTATATACTACAGACTAATGTAGTATACAACATGGTATTCTTGCATAGACTAGGGGAGTATAACTTTTTGAGGGGACATGTAATTATTGCATTGTCCCCTTTAAGAATTACAAAGTTGCCCTTTCAGGTTTAAATATTTATATAATCAAGTTTGAATTTTTTTTAAAGTTTAAGGGTATTTTATGGAAAGATGTGAAATATGATGTTTGAATTTAGAAAGTGGACAACTAATTTGGGACAACCAAAATAGAAAGATTGACAACTAAATTGGGACGGAGCGAGTAATACTTTAAGTTATAATAAGTTTACTAATATAGACTAACTACTAGTATACTATAAGTATTAGATTATATAAGAGTAATACACTTATACTATCTACTCATATAATAGACCATACGCTAATGTAGTATATAGTAAATACTTGTCAAATAAAGGTAGAATATAGTATATAAAAATATAATGTATAATTTACTTATACATTTTTGGACTATTTATTAATATACTTCTACAACTTATATGCTATATACTATCAAGTCTACAAGTATAGTAATAAACTATATTTTTTATTACTTTTACAACTAATATACAAAATATATATAATGCATTACATATAAAACTTAAACAATATATGCAAGTATACTTAATAGTAGTTGATAAACCTACTTATTATTATTATTATTATTATTTTTGATAAGTAGTTGATAAACCTACTTATCAAAAGTATACATATATAATACTACTGCCAAGTATAACAGGTATATATATTATGTAACATATCACTACTTACGTATATTGATTATATTAACTATACTAAACAAAGTGAACCCATGTCCTCATTTATTGATATAGTCTTGACAACAAATGATTTCTAACTCACAAGAGTGCAACTTCTCATGTTAAGACCAGATTATCTTTGAAATCAAAAAGACAAGATTTGAGAACTACTGATTAAAGAAAACATCTAGTTTTTCTACTCATTGCATCTGCTAAAATTAAGAAGCATGTGTTATGTATGCAGGTTTTTATCATGCTACGGGGTTTAGATTAAATTATTATATCAAGATTTAGCACGTGAGAAATGAGAGCAACTAAAAGTTGGTAGTTTAGACGAGAGAGAGTGCTTATGATTTTTTTTTTTTCTTTCTTTCTTTCTTTAAGGAGAACTGAACAATATTCCCCCTACTTATTATTTATTTATTTATTATTATTATTATTAAAAAGAAAAAAAGAAAAGAGAAGACTGGCCATCGGGCAACAGCTTTATCATGGCTGGAAAACAATTAAACCAGATTCTCCAACGGTTCATATAGGCATTTTTTTTCCCTTTTATGTTTTGTGAGCATGGTAGCCCAGGAGAACAGGCACGAAATGCAGGCTTAAATAAGGCCTTGTGGGCAAAAGGGCCAGATTGACTAGCTGGGCCATGGACCTAAGACCAATTCAAAGGCCTAGCCAACCACCTTAGTGGGCCAAGCCACACTCATGCCAAACGGTTGGCCTTAATCTTTTTTACTGATTTCTACATAAAACGTTCTTTTATCATGGAAATGACGAAGAATAACCGAGAAGAATTCAAATCAAAGGTTTTTATAATATTGTAAAAAGTTTGACCATATGAAAAAAGAAAAAAAAAAAGAGAGAAGATATAAGGTTTTTGTTGAAGGATTTAAATATTAAAATTACACCCTCTGTACTAGCTTAAACTTTTGGAGTAGATGGTGTTTAACATGGTATCAGAACCAAAGGTCTCAAGTTCAAACCTCACCATCACCCTAATTAAAAATTGATAAACAAGTGTTGGACCAAAAGAAGGCCACACGTGAGGGGGCGTGTTGAAAGATTTAAATATTAAAGTTACACCCTCTCTAACAGCAAGCTTTTGGAGTAGATGGTGGTTAACAGTTCTATTAAAGAGGAGCATAAGAGAGTAAGACATTAAAGAGAAGTCATCAAATTATGTGAGACACAAATACTGTGATGTGCCCTTCATGTGATGTGTCCTTGGAGCGACTCTCTCTAAACAAGAACGTTCATAGTTATATATCGGAAAAAAGGATGTTTATAATTTTATAATAATAGAATATTATATTTAGTTTTCATGAAATAAAATCTGTCCTATAAAATGCAATTTTTATGTATAAAAAATATATATTTTATCGTCTATGTCCTCCCCATGTCTTTTTCCTACTTTTATAAGATTTGTTGTGTCAGAATGTCAATGTCAAGTAGTGCCGTGTCAGTTCCTAATCCCAGTCCATGCTATAGTGTAAGTTGTATATAGGTCTTCAACTATATACACAGCCCATAAATCAACATACACACACATTTAGAGAAAAACTGAAAAAGGTAAAAAGACTCACACGCCAACAGATCCTTCGCAGAATACAAAGAATGAACCGCACTTGCTTAGAGACACACCATTTGGAAATTGGAGATTTTGAACGAGGACGGTGGTTTTCTTTGTATGTGGATTGTATTTCAGAACCCTTCCAGTATCTTCTGCAGAGAAAACTAGCTGCAAGAAGTTCCTGAAAATAAATACTTGGTGAGAATTAAGGATTTGCAGTAGTATACTTAGAAATGCAGCATAATACACTAAGTTCTCCATAGCATAATAAGATGAGGACCATTTAAGGGATTACCAATATAATTGCTGCTTTCAGCACTATGACGGTATCAACTTGAGTCCAACTAGATCAATTAATTATATTTGATGAATCTATCCAAAATTGTAACACAAAGCTTATCTTGAGAGGTTATGGTTACATCCTGTGATGAAGATTGTGGAACTGAGCATGGTGAGAAGCTTGGAAATTTGGAATCTGGAAATTATTTAGTGCCTGAAATAGTTTGAAACCTGGCAATAATAGGTAATGTCATGTGGAAGAAAGAAGACTGGTGATAGCAACATTTTTTGTCACTTTATTGCAAATTTAGATAAACGAAATTATTTCAAGTATGGATGTAAGTAAAGGGAATGGAGCTCATCTGGAAGTTTTTTATTCTTTTCCCTTTCTTTTATTGCTCTTTTTGGAGTTGGTAAACTTTAGTTTAGCAAAGAATTATTGCAAACACCACAAAACATATATGCCTCCAGCTTTCAACTTACCTCATGCATCAAAATTTCGTATATCCAAAGAAACATATGGTCGCAAATTTGGAAACCCTACATCAGATTCAGTGCAATGGCACTATTGTCGCTTTTATCTGTATACTGTTTCATGCATTAATTTCATGCAGCTACTATCTCTTTCAATTAAGGGCGTTCATGTAATAAATTTGGAAGGTCTACGCCAATCACGCTCATAAGTACCAACTAGAACAACTTTAGGAAATGCATTACCTGCATTTAAGACAAAACAGTACTGAAAACCCACCTCCTTTGGTATTTGGTGCTGCTATCAGTAAAATAAATATATCCATCATCATCAATGTCCAGATCGTTTGTGAACCGCAGTGGGATCCCTTCTGCCTCAGTTGCTAGAGATGTCGCTAGTCCACCTTCAGGTCCAACTTTCATCAACCCAAAATATGCATCTGCAATGTATAAATCACCTGTTTTCTTGTCAAATCGAAGCCCCAATGGCCTTCCACATATGTGCTCATTCTGCATATAGCTCAAAGGCGATGGTTTTGGGTCACATAATTCTGACCTGATTTCCAAGTCATACGGAAAAATAAATAATTTCAGAGAAATATATGGAAACTCTTCTAGGAGAAACTAGCAACACTAAGACTAAAGATCCTCTTTAAAAGGAAAGTAATTTCATACAGTGATCCAGAATTTAGTTCACTTTTCAAATCAAATGCCATATGGAAAAATAAATAATTTCAGAGAAATATATGGAAACTCTTCCAGGAGAAACTAACAAGAACACTAAGACTAAAGATCCTCTGTAAATGGAAAGTAATTTCATACAGAGATCCAGAATTTAGTTCACTTTTCAAATCAAATGCCACTTTAAATGATTTTTTGATAAGTACTACTGACAAAATTAAATTCACCATCATATAAATAACGAACTTCCAAAACAAACCCTGCTGGGAGTGGGGACGATAATCTAAGAACTGATTACTGGTTCACCACAAAATTGATATTGATAATGAGTATTAAGAGGAAAGACCAGAGAAAGACCCAACTTTTGGCACTATTTTTCGCAAAATGGCTGCTCTCATATTTGAAAACCCTCGTTCTCACGCTTGCGAGTCCGACCTACAATTACACCAAGGAATGACCCCTAATTGACCACATTGTAACACAAAATATTATACATTCTCAGAGTAATATTGACACGAATATATTTTTCCTTAAAGGTTCTGCATCTTTCTGTTGTTAAGAAGTCCCTGGGGCATTCAGCATAGAAAAGGATGACATTCCTTTATTCCAATTACTGGTGCAATAGAGAAATTTTCATATGTAGGCATGTGAAGAAAATTGAGCACTATATGGAGATGAAAACTGCAGAGATTTCTGTGTTTACTTTTCTAATCGAGATCCAGAATATACCCGTTTTTCTTTATTAATTTTTTAACTGATTTCTGCTTATATTTTCTTTCTTGTTTCCTTCCCCAATCCAACTAGGAGAAAAATATTTTTAATAATTAAATTTTCTTCCCACGTCTCTCCAATGAAAACAATTTGATTTGATAGTTTATTAGACCTAATTCAAGGCTCCGGTAGTGAATCGCGCAAGGTCAGACTGTGAATAGGTCTTGTTGTTGGATTGACTGATTTTAACAACCTTTTGAATTTAAACAAAATAACTAAATTCTAAACTCAAGTTAAAACTAACCAACTAACTATATTCAAACCATCAATCAATTAAACATGCAATAATAAAATTTAAGGCAGTAAAACTTAAAAAAATGGAGACAGATTTTTTACGTGGAAAACCCACCTGGAAAAATTCACAAGACTTAGTCTAGTCAAACCAAATCCACTACAAGAAAGAGATATTACAACTTGGGTTAACAATTTCTCAAATCCTAGAAAACCCCTGGTTAACTCTTGACACAGACTTACTCCAACCTTGCAACTTAAGTCTCTAGGCCGTTTGTCCGCTTGTTAACAGACTTCACTCCTCACAAATTTGCTTCTCAACCCAATGATTCAGTCTCAGGCACTAGTCGTATAAACCAATCTTTGGAGAATAAATTGATGTAAGTGTTGAACTCTACAATTTAGCTCCGCAGCAATTGATTTCAACACATTTGAATTATTGTCACCAACTAATGTAGATTAATGTAAAAGAAAAATATAACCCACTCTAGGACTCCCAATTATGCTCTCTCTATTGTGCGTTCTCTGTGTATGCGTGCTTTGAATTTTCCCTGGAGTGATGTATATATTAGACAAAGAATAAGCACTTACCAAAAAAAAAATTTATTAGACAAAGTATAAGCATAGAGAGAATAGGATTGGTAGAGTTTTATTGGAAGGAAACTGCAATTTTGAACAGATAAATCCATGGATAGAGGAATAGATTGATTGATCGATCCAGAGAACTTTGACTGATAGCTAGGTCAATCAAAATTATCTACAGATATATACCTAGAAAGTTTCAATTTGGTAAGTTTCCAGAACACATGCATGAATCAAATCATATCAAATACTTTAGAATCATGCATGAACGCTAATTTTGGGTAGTGCATCCAAGTGTCAAAATACCTTTTTCCCTTTGGTGTAGATGATTACACATTTACCCTTGTGTGTAGCTTAAACTTCATCTTCAACCATAAGGCATGAGCAAGAGGTAACAACTAACAATAACTAACTTTTGAAATTTCCAACTAAACTATAAATCAAAAACAAAACTTCTAGACTTAAACTTGGTTCTACAAAATTTGCCAACCTAAATCCTATTGACCTAGCATAATTATCTTTATTTCTAGCCAACAAAATTTTGAAGGACATAATTTAATAATAACCCATAAAACATGAAATTCGAGAAAATCTTTAATAAATAATTCACATCTTCTGAGATTTTTAGAGGATTTATCTAACTGAGAAGCCTAAAAAGTGGAGATTAAGCTACTCTTAGTCATGGAAGACCAAAAACAAAAATTAAGCCGAGATATCTAAAAGACTTTTATTACTCAATTGAAAATACAAAAAATTTAAAGGAAAGCAAAGGCACTTTCTAAAATTGAAATAGCCATACAAATTTAAAGTAACAATATAAGCAATAGGAATGTCAAAATGAAAATTGCTTGATGGTGGTTGTCCTTTCCTTGGAAAACTGTGTGGCGTACCAAGGCTCTGAGGCTCCACTCTAGGTGGCCTTCTTTGGTTGGACAGTGGTCTTAGGGAGGATTTGACTATTGACAATCTGAGAAGGAAGCGACAGATTATTGTCAATTGGCATTGTAAGTGCAAGAAAGATGAAGAGTCGGTTAATCATCTTCTCTTACATTGTCCCTTTTTGGCGTTCATTGGTTTATGCCGAAGTCCCCGTAGAGCATGCTTAAGGCTTGGAGAGGGTGTGCAGTGAGTAGGCAAGTCCGAGATGCTTGAAGGATGGAACCTTTGCTTATGGTGGGAGTTGTGGCACAACTGGAACAGGCGATCCTTTGATGGTGTCGAGGTTCCAACTTGGGTGCTTAAGTTCTCCATTCTCTGTACTTTATTTTTTGGGGTTCAAGGTTGGAATTGTAAATCACTAGGGTATATATAGTGTCTTTTGTGGATACCTTGACTGTATAGCAGACCCTCTTGGTCTTGCTTTTCTTAGGTTTGTGCTTCCCTTCGAGCGCCTTTTAAAGAAATCTTACATATCAAAAAAAAATTATTTGCTAGATTTTATTTAATCATGTACAGTTTAAGCGCAACTTTTTCCTTTCCTTTTCTTTTCTTTTCTTTTCTTTTTTTCTCTCTTTATTGGTGTTGTGACGTCCCATAAATCTCCTTTCCCACTTCCTTTTCTTATATCAAGTGGGATGCAGAACTCTTGGAGAGTATCTTTCAATTATATAAGTTACAACCACATCATTTTGTTTCCCAATACATGGGTGCTATGAGCTGCACCCCATCCCTTTTCACCCATATCTTATTTATCACATGAAATTTTCTTGTTTCGATGCATTTTAATGTATCGATATGAATGGTTTAAAACCACACATTCATAAATTTAGATTTCAATTATTTTAATGAATTGTATCAAGTGAATAAAGATATTTTATAAAAATAATGAATTTTTCATTGAATTTAATATAAGTGATTTGGATATTAAGAAGGGCTAAAATCATAAAACCCCCTTCTTGTTTTCAAAAACTATCAACTAACCCCATCAACTAAAGAAACTATCATATTACCTCTTGATGTTTTAAAAAGTCTATCATATCACCCCCTCCCCGTTAGTTTCCCGTCTAAAACTAACAAGATCATATCACGTGCAAAAGTTGCATCATTTGCTGACCAAAATAACCTTGTAATTCGTAATAACAAAATTGCCCTTCTCACACTATAATTTCGGTTTAACAAAATATTAATATACTATAAAGGGCATTACTTATCAAAAAAAAAAAAATACTATAAAGGGTATTATTGTCATTTCACAACAACTTAACAGTTCCGTCACGGAAGGGGGCAACGTGATAGTTTTTACTAGTTCAGGGGCTAGGAAGCACAGACACACCAAAATGGGCGAAGAATCCGTGTCCGAAACATGTCTGGAATTTTTTATTTTTTTTTTAATTTTCGGATACGGCACAGACACTCCGCAGACACGCATTCGACACGCCAAGGGTGTATGTCCGACATGCGTGTTTTATTTTCGGGGGTCTAAAAAATAATTTTTGAAAGAAAATTGGGTTAAAGTATAAATATAGGAAGTTATTTAACAACTTTTACTCACTTATGTAGTTAGTACATAATAATTTTAACCTTGTAATTAAATGATACTAGTAGTAGTTATTATTCTAATGTCTTGTTTTTTATTTGGTTTTATAATTTTGCAACATTGTTCTTTTATAGTTTATTAGTTATGAGTTTTTATTTGTGTATTTTTTTCATTGTGAGGTTAATGAAAAATAGTAACACTCACTGATTTTTCAAGTACTACATCATATATATATATATATATATATATATATACACTATTCGCTGTGTCCCCGCCGTGTCCGTGTCCTAATTTTTTTGGATTTGCCGTGTCGCCGTTTCCGTGTCGTGTCATATTTGTGTCCCGTATCCATGTCCGTGCTTCTTAGTTCAGGGGGTTGTTTAATAACTGAGGGGGTTATATGACGTTTTTGGAAACAAGAGGGGGGTTTTATGATTTTAGCCCTATTAAGAAATTGATCAATATATAGTTATATGTTATTTATTCAAGTATTCAGAAATTTAGTATATACTAGATTTGGTTATTTACTAAACTTACTGACTAATCTATATATCTAATAAATTGGGTAGTCTAGTAGTTTATACTTTATAGTTAATAAGCGCCAAATATTGTATATTCAAGCGCCCTTATTTGCATTAGTTAAGTCCATTAGTTGATCATAATGTATAGTTTAGCTTTATTTGTTTGTTTTCTTCTACTTTCAGGTTGGTTCCTCCAAATATGGTTAAAGGAACAGTTTTGACAATTTCTTGAAGAATCAAAGGACGCCGTTGCTGGGAACCGTCTTTTGGGCCAAGTTTCTTTAGTCATCATGCATGTGAGTTTTGCAGCATTGTATTCAGAATGACGATCGTGTCGTCGGGCCAATCCATGTGATTCAAATAAAAGGGTCATATGTGTTGAAGACAAGTCTCCGCGGGCGCCCGCCAAACACCCCAGTAACAAGCCTTCCTTTGCAGGGCCCCGCAGTGTCTCGCAGGCCCCAGCCGCGCCACTGCGGGTGCCTGCCGTTTTGTCCAGTGAGTTCCCTCAGATGTTGAGAACCCGCGGGCGCCCGCCAATGCCTCGCGGGCCCCCACCGATCTGTAGGTAGCAGATCACCTGCTCCTGTTTTTGTGCTGAATCTTGTTCCCTATGCAATTTTTGTGGTCCAGATTGCTTCTAGGGTGGTTGGAGCTCGAAATTGAGTGATTGGAGGGAGGGTTTTGCCTAGATAAGAAGTCGGAAGGTTGTATTATGATGTATACATATTTTTGCTAACTTTTAGAGAGAGAAAGGAGCGTTCTTGAGAGTTTTGAGTTCTAGCTTGTTCAAGGTGCGAAAATGGAGGGTGGGGCTTCTTCTTCTCCTTCATTCCTTGCATCCATGGGTAACTAACTCTCTATCTAAGGGGGTGATGAAACCCTTCCTTGTAAGCATGTTTAAAGTTTGATTTATTTTGGGGAATGTATATGGACCAAGTTTCATAATCTAGAGCACTTTACAAATGTGTAATGAATATTATTTTGTACAAATGATCATGTTGAATCAATTACTCTTGTCTTAGATTATTTGTTCTCATGGTTGTATGGCTAGCATTTTCATAGTGACAATGGAAATAAGATTATGAAATGGTTTTAATGGCATGGTTTTCGAGAAATTTGTTAATCCATAGCTTAGGGCTTCCTTTTAATGGGTTAATCTTGTCTCTTGACTCCATGTGTTTTTACCATTTGATTGAGGGCTTGATAATCTCTAACTTAGTGAGCATGTCTAAGGCTACACCCTAGTTTAGGTAGTTCAATTATGTGAAGCTTTGATAGGTTATTCTTGCCTTGTGATTTAATGAATTTCTTGAAGATATTGTAGTAACCATGTCTTGATAATCTCTAACTTAGTGAGCATGTCTAAGGCTACACCCTAGTTTAGGTAGTTCAAGCATGTGAAGCTTTGATAGGTTATTCTTGCCTTGTGATTTAATAAATTTCTTGAATATATTGTAATAACCATGTGTTGCTATATATCATGGTTACATATATATATTATTTCCCCAAATCAATCATATATTTAGCATGTGTAAGGGGTTGGAGTGGATTCACTTCCCTAGTCCTCTCTATCTAAATTCCGTTTCTCTAAAGTTCGTGCAAGTTATTGTTCTATGCAATTTTAAATTCCTAATTTAAGTGACAACTCAAACAAAACTTTATACCCCTTTTCATCATTCTAAAAGTGATTTTAGACACCTTGGTTGCCATAAACTAGCAGTCTCAGTGGTTCGACTTACCCGACCAATAGCCCTATTTTACAATGATTTGTGCTATTGCAAAGGTTGATGTATAATTGACAACCGATCAATAGTGAATATGTAAATAATAACTTAATATTAAGTAAGAAACTTCATATTTAGCATTTAGTTTTAATTATGATGACTAATTAGGGTCAAATGATCAATAGATAAACTATTGAAGTGACAACGCCTAGATGACTACTAGTTCAATTGTAAAATAAAAAAAAGGTACCTAAGAATTGCCATTAAGCATCAACTACAATTCAATAGATCAGGTGAAGCCAATGAATATGTGGGATATAAACAAAGAACAGTTTATAATGAAAAAGACCAAAAGCTTATCATACCAACAATGTAACAACCAACGACTGTTCTGTACTCACCAAGGCCCTGTACATAAAAGATTCTTTACCAAATGTAACTTAAGTCCATAGCATTACATCTACAAACATCTGTTCACATCTTTTGCCACGTGTTCGAAACAAGACATATAAACTCCATTCTACACTCTCTCTCCCATCAATACCGGTGTGAGCCAAAGGCCAATTAAAACAACCACAAACCTACCCAAAAGCTGATTGAAACAAAACTGACATACCTAAAAGGAAAGTAAATAAATGCCCACAATCCATACATATCTGATCATGAATTAAAAAAAAAAAAAAAAAAGGTGAACCAATGTTTTTGCAGCATGCATGCTCATAATGCACCTATTTGGAAATGGCATGCTTTTACATATAAAATGACCCATCCACACCATAAAAAGTTTTCATTAACTCATAAATTTACAATAGGTTCTAAAGTAGGCATGTATGCCATTTTTTTTTTTTTTTCCCTGAATTTCCTCAAACATAATCCCATCCACACCATAAAAAGTTTGCAATTCATTATCACACTACCATTGCTCACACATTTGCTACCCCGTTCCTCATCTTATATATATTTTTAACTATGACAACAAACCTCCTGAGCCAAAAACTCAGGGATTTAGATTAAAATGTCCTGTATGTTGGTGTCTACACTAATTAACTCGTGAGTGAAACTGCATCTACACTGAGTCAAGTTAAAAAAATTCACGATTAAAGTATCAAATCCATAACCTAAAACTCGTTGATTGGGCTAAAAAATTCAAATTCGCGTGGAACAAGAGGAATATAAAATTTTAAACCCAAGAAACTCACCGATTAGGCGATGTATATGCAAAATCGGTCCAGGAGTCGCCGTTCCAGAACAAAATCCGACCATCGGCGACACCAGTGTATGGTCCACGACCCTGCGGGTCAAAAGCCATGCTTTCTGGGCCCTGAACCTGGTTCAAAAACCTAATTTCCGATTTCTGCAGCAAATTCTGGGTGTCTTTCTCGGTCGGAACTTGGGACCATGGGGGCATGTTCACCTCGAATGTTTCGAAATCGGGGAAGTGATAGATTGCGCTGTGCTTGAAAGGGTCGATTCCACAGTAGATAGCCAGGAGGAGGAGTAGCCAGCCGAGAATTCCGACCGGGGTCATTGCCTGAAATATGAGGTCTCCGGCGGGTTGAAGATAACAAGGAGGACGAAAGTGAGAGGCTTTGTACAGGTTAAAAAGTCAGGGAAATCAGTGTAATAATCGAGGGTTGTGCAACGCTCACTTATAATTACCTACATAACCCATCGGACCAGAATCCTCTCCTGTTAAACAGTATAATCTGTTCCCTCCTGTTCGCACTGTTTAGGCACTGTAGCAGTGGTAAAAAGGGCCAAACACGACTTTGGATAAAAAAGGTATATACACACACAGATACATATACAAACATATATACACAGAAATACAAAATTGCAAAAATTGAAACCCATGTTTAACCGGCAAATTGGAAATTCTGGAACAGATTTAGTGCCTCTTCTTCTAAGCTTCTTTCTTGTTTCTTCTTCTTCTCTCCCAATTTTTCTTCCTTCTTTCCAAATTTACAATATTGGAAATTTTGGAACAGATTTAGTGCCTCTTATTCTAAGCTTCTTTCTTATTTCTTCTTCTTCTCTCCCAATTTTTCTTCCTTCTTTCCAAATTTGCAATTTTCACGCCTCTTCTTCTAATTTTCTTTCTTCTTCTTCTCTTCCAAATTTTCTTCCTTCTTTCCAAATTTACAATTTATTTTCAAAGGTTTGGTTTGATTGAACGTTGGAGAAGAGGAATTTACAGTGACGAATCGCCTCGTCTAAATATGTAATTTTATTTCTTGTTTTTCTCTCCGGATTTGCCTTCCTTGTTTCCAAATTTACAATTTTTTTCAAAGGTTTGATTCAAGGGCGGAGAGGAAGAAGCTACAGTTTCGAAGGTATAGCGCCTGCTCTTAATCTTCTTTCTTCTTCTCCCCCAAAATATAGAAAGAAATAAATTGGTCTTTCCTACATTGTCCTAACTTTCCTTAATTTTGTTCTTTCCAAAATTACAATTTCTTTGGAAAGGTTTGATTGAACGGCGGAGAAAAGGAAGGTGCATTGTCGTGTGGTTGATTTATAGCCGAGGAAGACGAAGCTACAGTTTATTGGTTTTGTAAGTGAATTTGTGAATCGTATGACATTGTGTTTCATTAGTTTTGTTTGGTTATACTTGAAGTGTTATTAAATTGTGAAAAATTGAAACAGAAATTGTGAAAATTATATTATGAAATTGTGAAAAAGTTGTTATATTCTGTATTATATGTTATGTTTTAAACTTCCAATTAAAGATGTTAGAATAAAATTTCCATTGTATTCCTGTGTTTCATTCATGATAAGTAGTACAATATATTTGGGATATTCTGTATAATAAGAAATGGAGGTTTTACACTTCCAATTGAATATGTTGGAATAAATTTTCCAGTGTATGACATGTAAGTTTCCATTTAGAGTTATGATTGTTCATTATAAATAACTTAATATGGTTGTAATGTTTTTCAAAATAAGCCGAAGACCTTCCCATCATTTCTCACAAACTAATGCTCCCACATTTCATCATTGTAAGTTACACAAGTGGGAAAAGTAAGGAAACAAATAAACAATGAAGTAAAAAAAAAACCTATTAAGTAAATTTGATATATAAAAGAGTGAAGGAGAACTAATGCAGATTATTTTCACCACAATGTTCTGTTGTTGTTGGTGGTAACAGTGATTTGGATTTCAAGCGCCCATCTTCTCATGTATATTGACATTGATAGTTGGCTTGTTCATGTCCTTTTGACACTTTATTTCTATGTTCCCCTATTTCTGCATGTTTGTGAAGAAGTGGGCAGTGGGTTAGGAATTAAAGTCACTATGTTTGTGTTTGTGTGTGTGTGTGTGTGTGTGTGTGTGTGAGAGAGAGAGAGAGAGAGAGAGAGAGAGAATGGGTTCTCTAGGACTTGAAGTTGCAAAGAAGGCAATGTGGCTTTATCCAAAGGTCATGGGTTTTAATCCTTGTGAGAGATGGGGGCACTATGCTTACTACTCCAATGAATTTGTCTGTGTCTTTGGGGTATGTATCTTTCTTTAAAATAAGAGAAATGAACTTGTTAATTTATTTTTTTGCTTCTCATTATTCATTAATAATAATGTTATTTGGAGTGTATTTCTTTGATCATGATGTTTGGATTCCTTCTCTTATTTAACTTAATTAACTCTGTTACTATCTGTGTGGTAGCTTTCATGATGTTCTCTTGTTATTCTTATTATTAGTATTATTATTATTAATTTTAGATTATTTAGTTTTCAGTTTTGGGTAAAAATTGATGCTCTTTTTGTTCTAGTCTGTTGGTATAGTTATCTTTGGCTAATAGCATGTTAACTTTCTACAAATGTTATAGTTTTTTCTTGTTCTTGCTCTAATATTTGATTCTTGTTGGTTTGTCTTTGTCTTAATTTGTCAAATTAGTTGGGATATTATTTGGTTGCATGATTAGCTGCATCACACTACTACTCTTGGTTTGTTGACATGGAAATGTTTTTTCAATTCTTATTGTTGTTTCTTCTTAGACCCCTAAGTTAACATGGTTGTAATGTTTCTCAAAATAAGTCGAAAAAAGTTTGCAAGTCCATGTTTGATTTAGAAAAAGTTAAATGAATACTTGAACATAGTTGTAATTAGTTTGAAAATAGGAGGCCCAAAAAGGTTGGAAGTGCATGTTTGAGATGGAAAAAGTGAAATAAATCATTTATTTTGTTAGTCGTAGCAAAATTATGATGAGTGCAGTTGAGGAAGTTGGTTCCTTGATACATTATACTATCTTGCATTATGTTAATAGGTCAGAAAATATTTCGAATTAATAATTCATACCTACAACACTAGCTTTCGTTGAAACATTTTTTTGTTTTTTGTTTTTGTATTGTAGGTTTCTAATTTGAATTGTTGGAATGGAAGAGGTATTAAATAACATCGAAGACACCACAGATACAGAAAACTCTCCTATTGCAGGGGCAGATGTCGTAGAATGGAAACCAAGAATAGGTATGAAGTTTGAAACTGAGGAAGAGGCATATGATTTCTATAATTCATATGCCGGTCGAGTCGGTTTTAGCATTCATAAAGAGTATTTTAATAAGAGCAAGAAGACTGGTAAACTGTCATCGAGATTGTTAACATGCTGCAAGGAGGGTTTCAGGGGTGATGACATTCGGGACAGTAATACAAAGACTCCTAGGGCTAAAACACGAACTGGTTGCCTTGCTCGAATGCTTATTCAAGTTTCCAAGTATACGCATAAGTTTGAAGTTACAAAATTTGTTGAAAGCCACAACCATCCACTGATGATTAATGAATGCATGCACATGTTACCGTCGTAGTGTAGAATTAGCTACGTTCAGGCCATTGATTTGGAATTGGCTTCTGATTCAGGAATAAGCCCTCGCAATTCATATGAGTTGATGGGAAGGCAAGCTAGTGGACAAGAATCAGTCGGGTACATGAAGTTGGATTTGCTAAACCATATAAGGACCTGAAGACAAACTGAGCTCGAATATGGAGAGGCAGCATAGCTAATGAATTATTTTGAGACTCAGTCTTGTGAAGATTCATCTTTCTTTTATGCATTCCAATTGGATAATGATCAAATGATTACTAACATATTCTGGGCTGATTCAAAAATGATAGTTGATTATTGCAATTTTGGAGATGTTGTAAGTTTTGACACAACATACAAAGTTGTACATGGCAATCGTCCATTTGGAAGTTTTTTGGGGTTGAATCGGCACCGGGAGACCGCTATGTTTGGAGCAACGTTCATGTATGATGAGACTGCAGAGTCGGTTGTCTGGTTGTTTGAAACATTTCTGAAAGCAATGTCCGGTAAAGCGCCAAAGACGATCTTCACTGATCAAGATGCTGCAATGGGAAAGGCATTGGCGTAGGTGATTTCAATTCAGATCTTCACTCTTTGCATTTCCTGTTGCATTATTATGTAGTTATATTACAGAAAATAATTATGCAGGTGATGCCAGGGACAAAACATTATTTGTGTGTTTGGCACCAAATACAAAATGTACAGAAGCATCTAGGGTTCTTGTTTAGACGTGCGCAAGGCTTTAAGAAGGTGTTATCAAAATTAATGTTTCAAATTGAGGAGGAGGAAGAATTTACCAGGGAATGGAATTTAATGATAACGGAATATGGTATTGTTGGTAACACGTGGCTTACAAATCTGTTAGGTTTGAAACATAGATGGGCCATGGCATTTATTAAACATGCCTGGTCTGCGGGTATCCACAGTACACAACTAAGTGAAAGCTTTAATGGTTGCTTGAAGGCATACTTATCCAGGCAACTAATTCTTCCAGATTTCTTCACACACTTTGAAAGGCTGTTGTCTAACAAACGTTACAAGGAGTATGTAGCCGAGTATGGGTTGCTCCACAATCTACCTCAACTGAAAACAAACTGTAACATATTAGTAAAGGTGGCAAACCTGTACACAAAGGTTATATTTAATAGTTCCCAGGAGAAGTTCTTAGCAGCTGGTGCCAGTCAGAGGATCATTGGTTACAAAGTCGTTGGTGAGGATGGAATGCAACGCGACGTCACGAGGACATCAGAAGATGAATTGTTTTGTTCTTGTTGTAAATTTGAAAGGGAAGGTATTATGTGCAGGCATAGTTTGAAAATCCTAAAGGACTCTATGTCCGCCAATGCATTGCCTCGTCGATATATATTAAGAAGGTGGACTAGAAGTGCAAGAGATGGCAGCTTGGAAGAAAATCTTTCCGGTGAAGTGATTGCTGATGCTAATCCAAAAATTGAGGTTAGGAGACAGCATAGGGTACTTTGTCGTATTCTGACTGAAATTTCGTCCATTGTATCGGAGGATAAGGATGGATACAATGATTTGTTAGTGAAAGCCATGGAGTGGAAAAAAATTGCCCAATCAAGTTGTAGGTGTAGGATTGCTGAGAGGAATGCAATTTATATTGTTGGTAAAGGCAAAAACCAATATCACGGGAGCAACATAAATACTGACAAAATCACCAATGGCCTCAAGTGTAAAGATACACGGAAAGAAAAATTTAAGAGGTTAAAACCGACCATGGAGCTAAAGAGTCTAAATAAGAGAAAATCACTAAAATGAACAGTTCAGCTTCAGGTACTTTTATCCCCTTACTGTTTTCCAAGTAGCATCATAAGTAATACCAGTTGTGTGTATTAAATTATGCATATGTAATACTTCTCATAATTGTGTTGTAGAATTGCAATGAAGCCCTTCAATCCGGAGATGCAGGTGCCAGTAGTCATAGTGGAACAATATGACGACCCTGAATTTTTCAACCCAATGTGTCCTGTGATGACCCGAACCGAATCCAAGATGCGGAAGCAAAAGAAGAAAGGTGACCTCTAGAGATGTGCGTCATCCCTAAGGCACCAAAATGACTCCACATGAAGCCACGGAATTCAAATGAGCCAAGCAATGAAGCAAGAACGCTAAATCCGAAGAGAAATGAACCAAGGGGTAAAATGGTCATTTCATAGAGAAATTGATGCTACCAAGCATAGAATTAGAAAGACAATGAAAAATTAACAAGAATAGACTCAAGAATCGCATGATTCGGAGTTCGAACGACAAAGATATCAAGTTCTGAAGTTGAAGGAAGGGAAACCCTATCCCGGTTCGAACAAAAAACAGACACTACCTTACTAAAACTTAAATATCATGAGCTAAAACAATAATATGAAGCTCTAATTGGTACCATTGGAAATCTTATTTCGACGCGGTCAATTTAGACTCAAGAATGGACCAATTCGGAGTTAAAACAAAGAAGATATGATAGTTTGAAGTCGAAGGCATAGTGCTGAACCAAGACACAAACACACACACACGTGAACAATACCACAAGCGCTCATGCAAGGGCTTTGAGCGCTTGTACAGCACACGCCCAAGGGCCAAAACTCTCTGCCCCAACTTTGAGCGCTCGTAGCCCCCTTGGAGCGCTCGTTCTGCTGTAGGTTACACTTGAAATGCAACCTTGAAATGCAATTTTGAGGTCTTTTTGGGCCTTTTTGAAAAAAACACAAAGAAGAAACCCTTCAAAATCATGTTTTCTAGTCAACCATGTCAAGATCAATCTTAATTTTTTAAGTAAAAATCCTAAAATGCCCTTATGCTCAGTTTAGGCTCAAAACGGCAAAAATGTGAATTTGCACCAAACATACATTTGACCCCAAATGCACTTCTAGGCTGAAATGAATATGCACGCAAACGCAATAAGTGATTTTGAGTGCGCGAGAATGGTCGGTGGCTCCCAGAAACGACCGATGCAAAATCCGACCCCCCTAAGGCTAAAAAGGCGAAAATGAATTTGAATTGGAAGTTTTGAAAACCAAAATTAACAAATGATTAGAAATTACCGTTTGGCCCTTGGCCACACTTCATACATGATTAATGAATACTAATGGATGAGTCTCATACACAATACACACTCCGATGCAAAATAACATACTAAAATGCAAAATGTTTATATATTCTCATTAAAGGAAAAATTTAACATCCATGACATATATGTGATTTCGAAAGAAGTTTGGCCCTTGGCCTCATGTCATATACATAAAATGAGGATCAAAAAGTGTGCTTAGGCACACACTAAAAGTTTAGAATCAAATATACACATTTGACAAATAAGGTTACAAATGGCATTCCAAGCCAACCTTCACAAAGATGGAAACTTCCAATTCCACAAACCATCCAAGCATAATGAGAGTCTTAACTTTAATTCCTATACCTGAAAAATGTCCCCACAACGTGGGTGAGTAACATAAAGCTACTCGTAGGAGGTGAGCATGCATCGACCTAACTTTTTACAATTTTATCGCCTTAAGGTGAAACATGTTAAAGAGGCTCATGCCACCTAACGTCTATGTCAAAGTGTGACCCATGGAGCATCCTAAGCTACCTAAGATCATTTCTAGTACAAATCACATCATTCGTGCAATTTAAGTAACATGGGAGCATGCTATACAAAGTAACAAGATGTAGATTCTCAAAGTTATCAACTTGAAATCTAAAATGCTAGAATAACCAAAGTGGGTCATGCCACCTAACGTCTATATTCCAAATGAATCTATAGGATCATTCCTAAACCACATTTGAACATATAAGGCATAATGTACTTAACAACATCAAAGTTCACAATGATTCACAAAAATCATAAAACATAGATGTGCTTAACAACATCAAAATGATTCACAAAAATCATAAAACATAGATGTACTTAACAACATCAAAATGATTCATTAAAATCATAAACATAGATGTACTTAACAACATCAAAATGATTCATTAAAATCATAAACATAAATGTACTTAACAATATCAAAATGATTCATTAAAATCATAAACATAGATGTACTTAACAACATCAAAATCGCCAATAACCAAAACCATAAGTTACAATATAAACATGATTGTTAACTTAGAATTGAATGCGAAAACAAATAGTGGAAGACTTGGACATCTAAGCTCGGAATTTTGCCGAGACCTCAACGGTTATTCTGGGCATTAACCCGCAGGGAAAACCACCCTAAGTGCGCACTATCTCAATTGGGGAGAACTCATACCTCCCGCACTAGAGCCAAACTCTAGCCATGTCATTTGTAACAACAATGTCCCAAGACTCCAAAATAAACCAAATAAGTTCACAACTTATACATAATTTATATAATGCATGAAAATCACCTTCCATGCACAAGTAGGTTGAAACCACACAATCCATGCCTTAGAGTTTCAATTCTAAAATGGCATATATAATGTCAATTACAAAGTGCGCAATTCAGTACACATAGCATCAATATATTCCATAAAGAAAACATGTTCTCATGAATATAAATATAACAACAAAGTTATCCAATGCTCAAAACACAACAAAGTGAATACATAACAAGTTCAAGTCCATGATTTGAATATAGAAACAACTTCTAAAATACCAATAGATCCATGGAGCCATTAGATAGAATTTAATTAAACAAGATAATCAAATTCTTTAGATTTCAAATCAAATTCGAATAACCTCAAATTAATATATGTTAAACAACATAGCATGCTCATTACATACATCAAATCAAAAGTGTCAAATGAGCAAGATAGCTTCATATATAATTTAATTAATTTAAATTAATTAAATCTCTAGATTTCAAAAGTTATTCAAATGATCCCAAATTAATATATATCAAACACCAAGTCATGGTCATACCATATCTCAAGTCTAAAATGGAATACAAGTAAAATATAATTTACTAGAATTTAAATCAAATTAAATCCATTTAATCTCTAGTTTTGAAAACTCATCTAAATCATCCCAAATTAATATATATCAAAGATCAACTCATGGCCATGCCATTTACCAAGTCTAAAATGAGTTATATGCAAGATATGATAAATCACTAATTTCTTAAATTAACAAAAGACATGCATACAATTTATAAAAGTATCAATAACATGCAAGAAACAAAAATATAACCC